TTTTTTTTTTTTTTTTTTTTTTTTTTTTTTTTGTATGGGGGATAGAACTTGGTTGGAACTTTGGCACTTGCAAGGCAGGCTTGCGGCACCACTGAGTTGAAACACATAAGTTCTTTTACATGTTTTCATGTTCTTATGGGCTGAAACAGCAGTAAACAAAGTGATTTTAGACAGCACATATTGATGATGGCAACACCTCTTGCTGATCTAGACCATCTGCCCTCCACTGCCACGTGAAAAATATACTTATCTTGTGATGGGACCACTCTATTTTGGGGTCTATTTATTATAGAAGTCTAGTTTACAGTAACTAATAGACAATATATTTCTTTTTCCAGAACTGAAAGATGTGATTGCTCAGTAGAAGCATTACTTTGCACAAAAACCCAAAGTAATCATAGTATACTTCTTTGCTCCATAATGATAACTGTGCAGTCATAATAATCTAACTGTGATTATTAATGAAATTCAAAACAGTGATAAAATGTATTGGGAGGACAAGGGGAAGGAAATAGAGTAAAAGTGGCAGCAAAAAACTAAAAAAAGTTTGTTTAAATTTGATAAACCAACAAGTTAGTATAAGTTCATTATTTGTAATACAGAGATAAATATATGACAAAAAATAATGAGCAAACACAAAAGGAGAAAGTGGTTTTCTTTGGCAGTGGGATTGAAGGATGGAGAAGAGGCAAAGAACTATTGTTATATCAGATTTTTAAACTGTGCTATGTGTTAATACAATTGAATGCTTACAAATCTGTAAGAGGGATGGAACACATAGGTGAGACAGGTTGTATGGAATAGAAGAATTAAAACCTGGAATACTATAAAATAAAAAGTCATGATGATTTGACATGATGGAATAAAAAAAGTGGACAAAGAAAATAGTCTTGTGACCCCAACCACTGCTGCACCCACATGTCTGGTCTTTAGATTTAGAATAATCTCAAAAATGTCTCAGAAACACCTGTAAATGAGTAGACATTAAAAAAAAAAATCAAGGATTCTATTATTTGGCTTCACTTCAGGTTTTTGCTCCTTCATGGCCCCACATACATACGGTAATGTTTAGTCTCTCCCCATGTAGAAGCGTGTCACTTTGGCAGATGCTAGCTTCTAAAACATTCTTGTACTCTGATTTGAGTTTTCAGAACCTGTGTGTGTGCGTGTGTGCATGCGTGTGTGCACAGTACATGTGTGTAGTGAGAGGATGCAGTATCATGCAACTGTACAGCTAGAAATAGTACATACTGGGAGGTACAAACAATATTACAGTTGAAACAGCAGGAAAATGGAAGAAAGAGAGGTAATAAATGAAATATAATGTTTAGAATTATAAAGATGAAAACAAAGAATTTTGCTATAGCCTAAGTAATCTCAGAGACACAGATTTGCAGGGCAGATCTCAGGAATGGGAGATTCCTGTCCAGCAGTTGCAAAGTGACCACACTACCAAAAAGGCTAACGTTGTAGGTTTTGTGTGTGTGGTTTGGGGAATCCAACCCCAAACTTTGTGCATACTACACAAGCACTCTAGCACTCAGCCACAGCCCCAGCTTATGCACTTTCAACAATTATTTTAAACTCAAATCCACTTGAAATCCAGGCACCTACCCTTTGAGGAGCATAAATAGGATGTGAGGGTGAGCACTAATATACTCCACAGTAGGGCTCCGAGTGCCTATCTGTCTTCTCAGGATGTTGTTAAATATCTGCGTCACATCTTTTTTCCCCTGTTAAAGAAACAAACCACCATTAAATTGTACACTTTAAATGGATGAACTGTGAGGTGTGTGAAATACACATACATATAGAGGTAGTACTATCCTTTAAAATATTAATTTACTTTTTTTGGGGGGGGGTTTAAGACAGGGTCTCACTGTGTAGTGGAGACTGACCTGGAACTCAATGTGTAGCCCAGGCTAGTCTCGAACTCACAGCAATCCTCCTGCCTCAGCCTCCCGAGTGCTGGGATTACAGGCGTGTACCACCATGCCTGGCTTAAAACATTAATTTATCTTTTCATTTATCTTTAATAAACTATATTTTCAAACACAAAGTCCACAAAATGAATGCAGTTCCTTCCCACAGGATTTGCAATGTGGGAAATCAGACCAGTCAGAAGTTCATTTCTCACAGAAGTAAACACAGTGGAGCAGAAGGGTATAAAATGGTGGCAAATATGTCAGACCTGAATTCTTACTAATTTTTTTCTTTTTAGCTTATTTCACACTTGATCTTAGCCAAAAGGCTGAGAAGTGATTTTAGTTTTATTCTACATGAAAATTTTCAAACCTTCATAGATAAGGAAGGAAAATAGATAAGAAAATAAAGTTAAAATTTTGTTAAGCTGTTAGAATCAAATTCTTTTTTTCTTAGACCTATTTGCTGGTAATTTTTTCCCCTTATTTTACTCTTCTTCCATCTTGGTACCTTGATTTTTAAAAAGTGAGAAGTTTAAAATATGAGTTTTCCATCTAGGCATGGTGGTGCATGCCTATAATCCCAGAACTTGGGAGGGTGAGGCAGGAGGATCACCACAAATTGGAGGTCAGCCAGGACTACATAGTGAGTTCAAGATCAGAACGGACTACACAGTGAGACTCTATCTCAAAAAACTACAAAAAAAAAAGTTTTCTATTATTTGGGTATACTGACTGAGGTGATCATAAGAAATCAAAACTAGCCTAGAGAAACAGAAGGGACTGACCACTCGGTCCAAGTTGCCTAAGCCAGACAAGAGTCATTTGGACCAGAACTCACCTCTCATACATCCCACAATTTAAATCTATTCTGATTCTCTAAAAGCTCTGGAGGAGACCCAAGTTTAGTATACATAAAATAAGGACAAGAATATTTTGCATTCTTAATCATTATGGCCCTCGTTTGGGCCTTGCCTTTCAACTGAATTGTGAAAGAAGTTCTTAGTTTCTCTCTCCACTTCACAAAATGGCAAGAAATGCAAATCTGACCATGCCATTCTCTCCTTTAAGCTCCTCAACATCTCCTTTTGGATTAGAAAAAAGTCTAGTACCTTCCATGAACTGGTTCTTGCCTACCTCTCCAGGCTGCTCAGAGACCTACTGCTTCCCAAACCCTACATCAAACTCTGTTTGTATCAAATGAGTGTACTATTATACATACTCATACACAGCCTTTCAGGCTCTGCACCTTTGTTCTTGCTCTCCTACTTATCTTAAATATTTTCTTTCCTTTTCCTAGCAAACTCTGTTCTTTAAGATGCAATGCATGATGCTAAGATTCAATGCAAGATGGGTGGAGTATTTCTGTCTCTGTTAAAACACTATCTGATGCCTACACTGACCAGGATCTCCTCTTCTCCCACTAATTCCACCTCCACCTTTATCACTGTCAGAGAAGTAAACCTTTACTGAGTGATTATTCTACGCCAGATACGTAAACTAAAGGCCTTACACACAAGATTCAGTCACAGAAATTTTATAATTTACTTATTATAAATAAGGAAATTGAGGACTAGTGATGTTGCTTTACCCAGATGGGATGTAAAAGAGCCAGGCTATTCCATCCTAGGTTGATGAAATCCAGCCTGAGTTCTTAGTTGTCACACCAAAGTGATTCTCAACACTATGCATTGAAATGCAATGGGGTTTTAATCTCTAACTTGTTCATTAAATTGTTAGCTTTCAAGGACAGAGGTGACATTTCAATGCTCATATTGGCCCATAATTTGGTAGGCATTCAATACATGCCTATTACACCATTGGATTATTTAGACATAGCTATCCATATATCTCATCACAAATATGGCCATAGATCCCTCATAACCTTTTTTTTTTTTTTTTTCCCAGTATCAGGGATTGACCTCTGAACCTAGCACTTGCAAGGCAGGCAAGGTGCCACTGAGCTAAATCCCTGGCCTGCTTATCACCTTTTAATTTGGCTCTTTTAAAGACTAAAGACACTAAAAAACTAAGACCCAAAGTGACTGATAAGATTATTCAGTTTCTCAATTTATAAAGCTATTAGTTATATGAAATATGAACAAAATACTGATTAGGAATAGTAATATATATAAAAATTCTGTAAGGATATCATTCACCTTATAAAAATTGATTCAGAATATATCTTGGATTTTAAATATAAAACTAGAAAAAATAAGAGAAAATATTTTTTTTTCCTCTAAAGGTATTTATTTTTTATTTTATTTTTTAAAGAGAAAATATTTAGACTCCAGGGCTGGACAAAATGGTCCTAAATTTGACATTAAAAACATAATCAATAAAACTAAAATGTGATAAACTAGAATTCATGAAAATCTAAAACTTCTGTTCTGCTAAAGATTCTGTTAATAAGATGAAAAAACAAGCTACACAAAGGGAGAAAAATCTGCAAACTACAAATGCACAAAAAGCCATTATTTAGAGTACATAAAAATGCTCAAAACTTAATAGCATGAAAACCAAACAATTAGAAAATAAGTGAAACACTTGAAAAGACATTTTGCCAGAGGATATACAGTTAGCAATAAACATAAAAATGTTCAATGTCTAGATCCTTTGGGAAATGCAAGCTGAAACCACAATGAAATCTTACAGAATGTCTAAAATAAAATTTAAAAAATTTTGGTGTTGGGACAACACCAATTGCTGTCAAGAATGAAAAAAAAAGATCACACTTATACTTTGCAGTGGAGATGTGAAACAGTATTGTCAATTCGGAAAACATTTTGGCAAGTTTCTTAAGACTATCCTATCAGAACAATTTCACTCTTGGTGTTTAAAACAGAGAAGTGAAAACGTGTATAAAAATCTGGCTATGAAAAAAAATCTGGCTATACATGTTCATAATATATTATTTGTAATAGTCCAAAGCTAGAAACAACCCAGAAATTCCATAGGTAAGTGGTTAAACAAACAAACATAGGTAAGTGGTACATCCATATCAAGGGCTACTACTCAACAACAAAAAGGAACAAACTATAGATACATGCAATAATTTGGGTGAATTTTGAGATATTACACTAAAGGAAAAAGCCAATTCCAAAAGGTTACATACTGATGGTTGTACTAGATAGCATTCCTAAAATGACAAAATTGTAGAAATGGAGAACAGACTACTGGTTGCCAAAATTCGATGATGGGTAGTAATGAGATCAGGAGAGGTGTATGTGGCTACAACAGGGCAAGAAGAGAGATCTTAGCCAGGTGTGACGGCATATGCTTGCAGTCCCAGCAACTCAGGAGGCTGAGGCAGAAGGATGGGTGCGAGTTCAAGGCCAGCCTGAACTTCATAATGAGACCCTGCTCCCCTTTCCCTCCAAAAAAGAGAATGGTTATGGAAATTTTCTATATTTTGATTTTGTCAATGTCAGTATCTTGGTCGGATTATTGTTGTACAGTTTTGCAAGCAACATATTACCAGTAGGAAGACTGGGTAAGGTGCATAGGATTTCTTTTAATTATTTCTTGCAATTGATATCAATCAACAATTATTTTAAAAGGACATTTTTCTTCATCCACCAATTTTTGTAGCTAATAAAATTTGCCTTTTTTGTTTGTTTGTTTTTTGTTTTTGGTACTGGGAATTCAACCCGGGTCCTTGTGCTTATGAGGCCAACAGCGGAACCACTGAGCTAAATTCCCAGCCCTTAGTTAATAAAATTTGATGTCAATTGTCATACTCTCTTTGTGAGGATATAATGCATTCTAACTCTAATCAACTGGTGCCCTAGAATCCTATTTTCAGAAACCTAGCCTGATAAAATATTTCTAAGTGCCCCTAAATAAAAAGAAAGTTTCAAACACAAAGAAATTTAACACAGCTGTGATAACAAAGGATTAGGAACAATTACTATATCTAGGATAGGTTTTTTAAATTATGCTATATCTAACTGGTACAAATAAGTTCAAACACTGAAATTGTAGCACTGATTAAATATGAGAAAAATTTATAGTTATCCATTGCTTTAACTCTGTCATGGGCATAATTGGAGAGCCAGAAATAAAGATAAAAAAGAGAGAAGGAAGAAATGAAGGAGAAGGCATCAAAGAAAAGATTTTGGGGAAAGAAGACAGAAAGAATAGGTAATGGGAAAGCAAATTAATTCTAAAGGATGCTCACACTTCATGAATTTCATTTATACAGATGTGAAAGACTGTATTTGTTGTCTAAAAGCGGTATAGCTGTAAATATAAATGTATTTTAAAATGAAAGAAATCATTTGTTCTGTTCAAGTCTTTTTAGACTTCATAGTGCAGTATTGCACAATAAATACTAACCCTCTTTGAAATGTCATAAGGCCATGTTTTTCATATCTCCCAGTAAAATGCCACAAGAACATTACCATACAAGCATTCCGGTGAACAGCAGAAAAGAAACCCCCACAAAGTCCTATCCAGCTTTTACACAGAGATAAACATTCTTTTAGTTCATTAGCAAATGTGTACAGAGGCAAAAGAAACCACTTACGGAAAATAAAAACAAGTTCTGCTACCATGGGCCACTTCTCAAAACAGAGGAAAGGATCGTAATGGAAAGAATTAGAAAAAACTCAAGTACAAGATAGCGAATAATTGTCTCAGTGTTATATGTAACCTATCCAATCCTCAAACTAAGTGTAACTGAACTGAAACTTTATTAAAAAACCAGTCTTTTGCAACCTTTAAGTTGTCAGATCTCAAGCTCTGGACCCTGAGATGGCCAGGAAAAAAAAGAATCTTCAAAATACTTTTGAGGGATTTAGCTCAATGGT